TCTGAGCTAATAGAAAATCTGTTTAGTTCAAAATTATCAAATCAAAAACAATACATAAAAAATACATTAAAAGCAAAACATTTCATCCACATTTTAAAAAGAAAATTATTCTAAAATATATGTATTCTGTATTTGACAAACAGTTCATTCGACAAATGAAAACTCACAGGAATATGTTTCAGCTATTAGAACAGAATGATAGTTTTTATAATACTAGTTTAAAAACGCACTTCAAAGATTGCAGTGTTTGAAGATGTAGATTCTCAGAAGGCAACAGTACTGTTGACTTCTCCCTCCACTGGACGCCAACTATTTAAGTTGATTTGCATACAAAGCAGAGCTTGCAACATGATAGCTGTTCATAAAGGGTGTTTTTTTTACTTTTCATATAATACAGTAGTCACACAATGAGGCAGTTCATATTTGTTTCAGTGAATCATTAATTTTTGACAGACACCTGTACAAAATACTTGGACTAAAGCCAGCTAAATTTTTAGCTCCGCTGTCAACTTTGTCGAGCGGAGCTTATCATATGAGTGATTGTCCGTCGTCCATGTCAATGTTTTAAATTTTCGACTTCTTCTTGAAAACTACAAGTCTGAATGCTTTGATACTTGGTGTATATGTACCTTGGGTAGACCTCTCTCAGATTTGTTTATTTCATGATCATATCTTCAATTCTCTAATTTTGGTGAATATTTTTGGTAAAAAGTGATATTTTCGACTTCTTGTTAAAAACCGCAAGTCCAATTGCTTTGATATTACATATATAGGTACTACATGTGGATCTCTCTCAGATTTGTTCATTTTGTAATAATATCTTCAATTCTCTAATTTTGGTGAATATTTTTGGTAAAAAGTGATATTTTCAACTTCTTGTTAGAAACCGCAAGTCCAATTGCATTGATATTACATATATAGGTACTACTTGTGGACCACTCTCAAATTTGTTCATTTCATAATGATATCTTTAATTTTCTAATTTTGGTGAATATTTTTGTCATTTTTGGTAAAAAGTGATATTTTCGACTTCTTGTTAAAAACGACAAGTCCAATTGCTTTGATATTACATATATAGGTACTACATGTGGACCTCTCTCAGATTTGTTAATTTTGTAATGATATCTTTAATTCTCTAAATTTGGTGAATATTTTTGTCATTTTTGGTAAAAAGTGATACTTTCGACTTCTTGTTAAAAACCACAAGTCCAATTGCTTTGATATTACATATATAGGTACTACATGTGGACCTCTCTCAGATTTGTTAATTTTGTAATGATATCTTTAATTCTCTAAATTTGGTGAATATTTTTGTCATTTTTGGTAAAAAGTGATACTTTCGACTTCTTGTTAAAAACCACAAGTTCAATTGCTTTGATATTACATATATAGGTACTACATGTGGACCACTCTCAAATTTGTTCATTTCATAATGATATCTTTAATTTTCTAATTTTGGTGAATATTTTTGTCATTTTTGGTAAAAAGTGATATTTTCAACTTCTTGTTAGAAACCGCAAGTCCAATTGCTTTGATATTACGTATATAGATACTACATATGGACCACTCTCAAATTTGTTCATTTCATGATATCTTCAATTCTCTAATTTTTATGAATATTTTTGTCGTTTTTGGTAAAAAGTGATATTTTCGACTTCTTGTTAAAAACCAATAGTTCAATTGCTTTGATATTACATATATAGATACTACATGTAGACCTTTCTCAGATTTGTTCATTTTGTGATGATATATTCAGTTCTCTAATTTTGGTGAATATTTTTGTCATTTTTGGTAAAAAGTGATATTTTCGACTTCTTGTTAAAAACTGTAAGTCCGATTGCTTTGATACTATTCATATTGTTCATTTTCTAATGATGTCTTCAGTTCTTTAATTGAAATGTGCATTGCTAACAGCGGAGCTATCTCAGCTGATAGGCTGCTTGTTTTTATATAGAGACATGTTGTTTTTACTCAGGTATTAACGTCCAAATATTTGAAATAAGGCTTCATAAAAACAAATTATAGTTGCAAAAAAACAAAGAACATTGTACATGAAGCACCTCTCTATAATATTTACATAAAAAAATATATTCAGTCGTGCTGCAAATTAATTATTAATTGCGTCATTAACCGTTTTACTCCATTTTCGTGTATTCTCGTGATCATGCGACTTGGTGTTTGCATAATTAAAAAAAATTGCCATATTTCCAAAGTTTGAAACAAGATCTTTATTATGGTATATAACATGTATGGGTAAGACGTATGTTTCAGTCTGTAAATTGAGACTAAAAAATTGAACCAGCGAACGTATGCTAACCCCTTAAGGTAGCTTACTAGACTAGACAAAATGATAAGGGTAAAGCAGACATGTCCTGTAACTGGATTTACTGGTTATCTATGTTTTTAATATGATTTGTTGCTAGGGTTACGCCTTAGTTGAATATGAAACATTCAAAGAAGCACAGGCAGCTATGGATGCATTGAATGGAAATGAATTACTTGGACAACAAATAGCAGTTGATTGGTGTTTTGTTAGGGGTGGACACGGAGGCAGTAAACGACGGTAAGTTGTGTTTTTATTTATACAGCCTCACAACTGTATTATTAAATTTAATTAATGAAAGGCATTATTGCAAAATGGCTTGAGTGTTCATCCAGCATCAGGGAGACTGTGGGTTAAAAACATGCATTCTGCTGACTTGCCAGGCTCTTGGCATTTGTGTTTGGAAGAGTCAGAGTCTGTTAATGGGTTCCAAGCTCATTGACAGGTAATGATTGTATGAGTTGGTAATATGCATCTTCATTCCAATGAATTCTGGGTAATTAAATAAAAATGTGAATACATTTTCCACAATGTTGTACAGGTGACACTGCCCAAGGCAGTTTTCTCCAGGGAAAATATGTTGCAGCCTAACTTCTTTAATCAGAAGTACTTTTATTGACAATTTGGTTCCAGCAGGCTTGTATTATTAAGCATTTACATAGTGAAATAAACAAGTTAATGGGATCCTATTATTTGTATCTTTCAGAAGCAGCAGAAGACGATAAAAAAAATTTCGTAATATTTATCATTTATTGTACATCATATTTTGGGTAATTTTTAATTTCTCCGTGGTCTGCCGTTTTAATAGCGCTAAGTTTAGATATGACCTATTGAGAGACCACACAAAACTTGTATGTTAGGTGTTTTGGGGGATGCTCTTTGGAGGAGGGGGGGGGGCACTGAGTAAACAAAATAAATGTATTTTTGTGTTTTCAGTTGTGATACAGCTTCATGTAAAGATAAAGATGTTTTTTTACATGTCTGTTTGAATTGGTCATTGTAATTGTTTGCCCTTTAAATATTGTATGTGAAGTGTTTAAATAAAGAACTTGTTACATTTCATTGCCTTCTCATAACAGTGTGTGAAAAACATTTGTGCTAATATTTGACAGGGCAAAAATTTTGTCATTGGTCAAGATCACTCCAGCACTCCCTAAATACAAGTCAATGTTTTAGATTACTGGTACATCCAATAGTGACAAATAAACTGGCTATGGTAATTTGACTACTCACATTTCCCAATACAATAGTGAATGTGTCCAGTCAGGATGTAATTCTGTGTTTAATGCAAGTAATAAGACGCTATATCTGTATTCAGTCACTTTTATGAAAAGACTTTCGTATATATTTATTGCAATCATTTACACAAAATATCTACAATAGAAAAACATGTTCATGTATGTACAGACGATCCTCACTACAGATCGCAGCTTTTGAAGAACTTTAAATTTGTGTAATTGTCTTGTGACAGAGAACTCCATCAATCTGGATAAATGTCTTGTGATTCCCCGTACAAATTCTGACTTACAAGTTGCATGGTTGGTTAAGAAGTATTTTTTTCTGTAAAACAAAAAGAAATTGGACTTTGACATTACACTGATTTTTAATAAAGCATGTCAGACCCAACCCAACAGGCATCTGTTTTCCCCAAGTACATCATTGCAACCACTCCTAAATAGCACACTTTGAGATCATAGATTCCCAAATAGCCAGTCATTCTGTTTTTTTAAAGCTTTGAAACATTTATTTTAGGGGTTGCCAATTTGAAGACTAGAGGGCTAAGAATTTTGTTTTGTGCAATTATTTTATTCACAACAAATTTTGTATTCATATTTTTGAAATACATGTAGTAATGTAAACTGAGTGAGTAGCATACTTACATGATTTAAACTGTTCGTTTATCACCAGTTACAACCTTGGCATTGCGATATTTCTGGATATTATCAACTTCTGATCTCAGTTTGTACCAACGTTCCTGCATTCTCACCTGTCTGAGGCTTTGTTGCGACAATCTGGAAATTATCACAAAGAATGAGTTTTTAAAGCACCACATCTGTTGTGTGGCATTGTGTTTGATTTGGACCCATGTGACACTAGTATGTACAACATGTGGTGTGTGGGGCTTTAACCCATAGCAAAAATATTATATTGGCTTGGCCACCGACAACAATCATCCATGGTAACTTCAATTGTATTCTCACCTATTAAACTATATGACATGGGCATTTGAAATACTGAAAACAAAATTGTTTTTTTTTAATTGTTTATTACTATTGTGATTGCAATAAATTGAATGAGTAATGAAATAATAGCAGGTTGATCACATCATGTTAACCATATAAAGCTTGCTTCCCAGCATGCAATGTGAGCCTAAGATGACAGTCGCATTACATACCTCTCAGTGAGGAGATCTTCCACACGTTTATCAACTGTGACATGTACAACATGAGGCTGCGGCTCGCATAATCTTTTCCAGCACTTGTCCAAGGAAGGGAAGGAACGCAGCTGGAACACAAATAATGATGTCATACCACTGTTGGGTACATAGTCTTCATTGGGATCTAACTGAGTTCCTGTAGCATGAAGCAAATTATGATATCATCATCATTAAACTGGAGATACTTGGTAATTCATAATGTCATTAACTGTTTGTCAACAGAAATATCACAAAATATATGTGATGTTCATAATAATAAACCTTACCTTTTACATATAACATTTGTCCATCAGCTCCTATACCAATTACCGGGGCCCAGGGTGATGTAACCTTGTGAGTGACTGGTAAAGTCACTTGACACAGTGATTGACCTTTTGTAATGTCATACAAAATGACATCCCCATTTTGCTGCACAGTCACCACCTGATAAAAAACGCATAATTATTTTTATTAGCCCAATAGTGGAAGGGGGGTTTGTTATAGATACATTTATGCTGACTAAATTTTGACATCACAAACACGACGTAGATCTTGTTCCAGAACGACAGAAATGCTTGATATTGATGAATTAGCCCTAAAAAGACGGCTATTTGGCCATTTTGAATCGGATCACAAAATGACTGCAAGTGTGATTACTAGATGTATGATGTTTGAATGAGATTGGTCTAGGCATGTGCAAGATACAAGTGCAGACAGACATGCAGAGGAGAAATTTTAAATCACTGTTTTTGGAAGTCTGTTAATAAATGCAATGGTAGGTTTACATGTGCTTCTATTTGAGATGTAAATGTGGAATTACAATACCGTATAAATATCACTTTATATACATTGAACTGGATGATACAAACGATATGTTGTGTATATTAACCACTGATATGTGGTTTACAAGTAATAGTGGACTGTCAATCAACTGTGGAAATCGGTGATACATTAATTATTTGCTGCCTTTAATTTCACAATTTTTCGCTATTTTCATTGATAAGTAAAAGTTGCTAATTTAAATTGACATGAACATGTGAAAAAAACATTGCTTACCTGCCAAGTTTGTGAAATTAAATCTCAGTAAAATTGCTCAAAACATGAAAATAGTGAAATTAAATGCAGGTGAAAATAAACAGTTTTATAGTAGTAAAATTATTGTTGACTTACAATTTGTGGAATAGCTGGTAATGATTCTATCAGAGTAAACAACTCTTCCTTTACTGCTCTTCTGTAAATAGATTAATCAATTATTATTGTGTTGAAAACAATAAAGATTATGTTTGAAAAACATTTTTTGAAAGCTTAACAACATACATGTACTGGGTAAAAGGTTTTTCTACATCAGTACGAAATACTAAACAAAACAAGAGATGATGAGAAGCATATCTTCAATAGAGATGCAACAGTGCTTTTACATAAAAAAGCACATGCCCTTCGAAAATACAATATATACAATTAATTATTAAACAAATCTGTGCAGACTGATAGGCCAACATGCACAAATACAAGTTTCCATTACAAGTTACCATGATGATCAATGTAAAATGTTTACAAATTCAACATATCGTATAAAGTATAAACTTTAAAATCATATGGGTTGAGAGCTAGTGTGTGATCGATCATTATTATTATTCAAATGCACACGTATGCAAGTCAATTATGGCTAGTTAATGTTTTTCTGGAGGTCAAACTTATTTCCTGAAATATTCCAAAACCAAAATTTATGGGTCTGTTTCTAAGGGAACAAGAGACTTACTTTGCAGACAATGTGATGATACTGAGATCATCGGATCCTCTACCACACGGTACGACTCTCAAAGTACCATCCATACAACCCACTAAGACTGCTGAGGCTCTTGGTGTTGGATATGGTGGATAGTCATCAAGTGACTGTGGTAGGATACTTGGGTTCACAAATTGTAGATGATTCACACTGCTTTCAGAGCTGATAGTCTGACATGTTATAGGAACACCTATTAAAAAAATATATTCAACAATGTTATATTGTTACAGACAATACAATGTTTTTGAACTACAAGAGACTTCTGGCATAGATTAACCTTTAACCAAAACACCTAATATATTTTTATATACTGATATAATTCTTATTAATATACTTATC